TTCTCCAGCCAGCATGGCTGGCTGGAGAATTCTGGGAGTTGAAGTCCACACATCTTAAAGTCGCTAAGGTTGAGAAACACTGGTTTAGCCACTCTATATATCTGAGAAGTGCAGCTTTTAAATAGAATTTGTTAATCAGAAAAGGAGCTAATAGACTCCTCCTGCTTCTGTGTAACCGTAGATTAATACAGCTCTTCTACAACGTCTAGTATGTCGCCACTGTTTCTGTAACTCAACAATTAGACCTGCAAAACCACCGGGTCTTAAACGTGCACCTGTTCAAGAACCTGCTCAGTTCCCACCCTGACCAGAGGCTGATTTGCATTTTAATACAAATTTGCCTTTCTTAAATTAATGCCAGAACTGGAACAGAAGTCATAATTATATTCAGGTTTTTCAACGCTTTGCAGTCCAATTAGCTGATGAAAAGCGACGTACAGCCTGCCCACTTCAGAAGAAAGAATAGTCTCACATTAATGGAGGTAATCCACATAGAGCACTCTTTTAGAGAAAAGCCCACAGAAATGCGCGTGGGTCTGGAGCAGTGTTTCTCAAACATAGCCACTTTAAGAGGGGTGGACTTCAACTCCCAGAATCCCCTGGGATGCTGGCTGGGGAATTCTGGGAGTTGAAGTCCACACATTGTTGCCAAGTTTGAGAAACACCGGTTTGGAGGAACATATAAAGAAATGCAGAGCTGTTTTTGTTTTAAAAACAAATTGCAGAGTAGTGGATGTTAGATACTCAGATGAATCGTATTTCAGAGACCCAGAAAAAATGAAGTTGATTGATTTGGCAGCCTCTACAGCGTGCACATGTGGAGTTTGTTCTCTGGCTAATCTCTGGATGTAGAATCAGCAGGCAGGCTTTTTTGCTGCCAAAATATCTCTCGTTCTGAAGATTTCTTACCTGATCAAATACCCCTCCTGGCTGGATGAGATTGGTCCGGGCGAGAGTATTAATATGGAGGGTATAACGAGTATGGGGTTTCAGGAGCTGAAAGAAAGAAAGAAAGAAAGA